CGCTTTGCTAAGCCCCGCCCCATTTGATAAGCCCCACCCCACATGATAAGCCCCAACCCCATTAGATAAGCCCCGCCCCCTTTGATAATCCCCACACCACATAAGCCCCACCCCAGCTTTATAGAGCGTCCCGAAGGGGTGAGTGTGACGTTCAGTGATTTCTGTGTTCTGATTGGTGGCGGTGGCTGATCACGTGACTGCTCACACTGTTCTGTCTCTCGTCTCTCACTGGTGTTAAAACAAGCACAAAAATAGTTTTTATTTATTAAAGAATAGATAATATTAAAAAAATAGTTATAGAGAGAGAAAAATAGTACTTTATAATTATGCATTTATCATTTGTTAAAGGGGTCATACGATGCTACATGCACTTTTAGAAGCTGTTTGAACTGAAATGTGTGTTGGCAGAGTATATACAACCACCCTATAATGATAAAGATCCACCCAGTGTTCGAGCTGATCTCAGATGCCTGTCTGTGTGACATCACAAAAACAGGCCCCTCCCACGGTAATTGATTGACAGTAGCGTTTCAGCACAGACTGGACTGGCGTCTTACCTAAGACCCGCATGAGTGAGCTGTCAGCAGTCCTCCATTGTTTCACCGCCGGAGCAGATGTAGACAAGAATGACTCCTGAGTGATTGAGGTGTTCTGTTGTTGGATGTAATAATGAACAGCAATCATCATTTACTCCCAACATCTGAGCCGCTGAAGACGCAGTGGATTACATTTGTTTCTGAAGGGAATGCACCCCCGATCTACATAAATGCGTCTATGTTTGCGCGAATCATTCATGATCCAGCCTCATCTACAGAAGAAGTGAGTGTAAGGTTTTTTAATGAATCTTTGCAAATCGCCTTTCCTAATAATGTGCTAATTAGCAAGTTTCACGATGAATGCAGCTAAAGTAAACAGTGCCTCAGAGAGCAGCTCGGAAGAGAGGGGCGGGGTCAGCAGAGCTCATTAACATTTAAAGGAAAATGCTACAAAACGGCTTGATCTGAAAAGAGCTGTTTTTGACAGGGTAAAAAAGGTGTTTTTTACACTACCATTGAGAAATTTTAACCAAATTATGTTACAGACTTTTCATTAAGACCCTAAAGAATCATATCAACTTGTGGAAAATGGGCTTCTTATGACCCCTTTAAAATGTTGAAACATTATTTTATATATTGCTGTGTGTGTGCACATTAAAATACATAAAACTATAGATAAATTAATATTAAAATTGATATTAAATAAATCCCAGGGCTTTATATATATATATATATATGTGTGTGTGTGTGTGTATATATATATATATATATATATGGGTCATTGACGTATAAAATACAAAAAATTATAATATCTATTGTAATTGTTCAAAAATTAAGAATGTTGTGTACACATAAATTCATATTAAAATTTAAAATGAAGTGATTTTAGTGTTTTTTCATCTAGATGAATTGGCCGTAGCCTTAAAAAATGTAATGTGGTGCGACCATGATTTATATTAAAATTAAATAATTTCCTTAACATGCTTAACATTTTTTAAAATGTTCTCAGTAATTAAAGTGTTTAGAAACAAAGTATTTGCGGTTTTGTAAAAAATGATCTCTTATTTTTGTTCTATAATTTCAGAGTTGCCCTCTTAAATGTAGTTAACAGACTTATTTTTCCTGTAAATTGCATAAAACTGATAAAAATGTTTTAAAAATACCATTCACTTAAGCATACTGTAGCAGTGATTCATATTTCAACCACAGAAATTAGTT